GGGCATTGAGCTGTGTTGCCCAACCATCAGTTGGACTGCTTTTGGACATCCTCAAGCAGAAAGTGTTCCTGTGTCCCTCAATGGACCAGAAAAGAAAAAAGGATTTTTGTACTCGCCATGAAATCCTATTCTTGGAGTCTATTGAGGGGCACACTTCCTACCTATCCGTTTTTATGCTCCTGCTCTTGGTACTGCTTTGTTTCTAAACTGAGGCAGCTGATAGTAGAGGGGGTTATTTCCAAATTGGCCTACAGTTTTTTTGTTTGCCAGTGTCCAATCCTGCTGTTGGTGGCAGTATAACCAAAAGGTGAAATGCTTAGAGTGTCTATCAATGGACTCCAAGAAAAGGATTTTACAGTGAGTACAAAAATCCTATTTTAGTCACTTTTATACATTTTAATGTACTTTATATACCTAATACACCCAGCCTCATTCATGTAATATTTCTGTCAAGGGGCAATTTGTTTGAAATACATAGATAACTCACATGGCCCTGGGTGGGCAAAATCGGTTTTTCTTAGTCTTTAATTGGCTATCTTGTTTCATGATTTTATTATCTTTTCTTTCTTTTATGTCTTCCTGTGCAGCCGAATCTGAAGGTAAAAAAAAATCAGCTTTTGTGTGCATGTGTTGGGTGTTGGCTCCTTTTTTCTTTCTCTTGGTTACTTAATTACCCTATTCCCTGATTTAATCCTTGCATGCCTTAGACCTAAAGGGAATGTATAGTGTATTTTCAGCCATCATAGTGTTTATTTTAAACTCATTTTAATGTTATTTTTACACTTGCATGATTGCGCTTTCATATTTTCATTATTGTAAAATAAAACCGAAACTTATACTACAGAGAGAGCCCTGTTCTCATTGTAGTCCTTCAGCCTCCCTTCTTAAAACTTGTTGAGCTAGGATAACAATCACATAATGTCTGCATTGTTTTCAGTTAGGCAGGATGCTTGCACTGTGTGATGGAGCAGTAAAGAACAAGTACTGCATGGCTCTGCAAAGTTAAAAAAAAACACAGCCTGCATAAGTAAGGAGCAACTATGGGTGCACCATGACTTACCGTGCCCATTATAAGGGGTTCCCACTCCACTAGGAGGTGCTATAACTGGCAAAAGTGGCAGTCGCACCCTGATGAAGCGATACGGAAACCTGTATGAAGCAAAGGATTTACTCCGCCCACCAGGCCCCACCAGTAACTAAAATATTCCATTTGGGTGATCTGACCCTTTAAAGCACCTTTCTGTTTTCTATTAAAGAGCTGTGTGTTTTATTACTAATATCTGTAACTACCTCTAGCCCAATGTAATTTGTTATTATATGATTTGTGTAAAGAAACTTGTACTGATAGAACTACTTAGTCTGCCATTGCTAACCTTCTTCTGAGCTTTTAGTTGCCTGGCTATGTTTGGCATCAATAATTTTTTGGCTTCAATATCCTAGAACCATGCATGCAAAAGAGGAGAGTCAGTTATATCAGTTCCAAAACTGCATGCTATTCTAAGTCGTTAAAGGAGAACTATGAGGTGAGTGCTTTTCACTCACCTCATAGTTCTAGCCGACCTGTGACAATGAGACTGTCACAGGTCGGCTCAGTAGATCGGGAGGTGAGCGAACACATACCGGGTTCGCTCGCCTCTCGATCCTGTCACGGCTCTCTGCAGTGACAGGGGGAGGGGCTGGATTCCCCTCTGCCCGCTCTGATCTGCCAGCGCTGACTGGCGGAACGGACGGGGAGGGGGCGGGTACAGCTGGCTCTGCCTCTAGATAGGCAGAGCCATCTGTCACTCACGCAGCTGGGCGGATCCCGTCATCTAAGTCAGCGTCTCAGTATACCTGTAGCTGTAGCTAGCGGTATACTGAGCTTAGGGTAACGGGAGGACGCTAGTTTGTGTCCTCCCGTTACCCTAAGGAGAACTATGGGGAAAAACACTGACCCCCATAGTCTCCCCTTTAACTCAAACTGTAATGAAGCCATTGAAGCAGCTTTCAAGCCAGAGAGCAACTACTCTCAGCAGAAGCAGTCAGCAATTGGAGCTTAGATTTAAAGTGTAGTCAATTTCAAGAGGAGTGGTGCAGTGTTCCAAACATCTTTGAAGCACCAGCATAACCAAGCCACATTAAGTGCTTGCAATAAGTTCCACCGGCATAAGTACTCAATATATTTAAAAGAGGGAGTCCAGAGAATCCACTTCTGGATTCACTAGACTCTCTATAGTGTATCTTCCATAAAGAGAATGTAGGGAATTCACAAGGCAGTCACAAAAATAAGCTAATCTATCAGCTTTTGGCTTTTTTTTTATAATTCACATTTTAATTTATTTATATTAACTGAAAGGGGAGACTGGTCTGTCCCCTCCTCCCTCCCTCCCAAAAAAAACCCTGTTTGTATACTAATGCCAGCCATCATGTTTAAGAACCAGTGACGAGTGCCAGGATGGGTTGGGATGGCCCTTGACTTTCTTGGGGGAAAAAAAGTCTAAATGTGTTTTATATAGCTTTGGAAAAGATACTGGAGCACCAGAAGATTCACTACATGAAGTTACCTAGGGCCTTGTTCACACCGAAAGCGATGCGTTCCAGAGCGGTAGCTGCTGGAACGCAACGCGATCGCTCACAAAACTTCCCCCTGCGTTCTGGGACGGGGCATGGCGGTGCATTGAATACAATGGCACTGCTTCCACTCCCCCCCCCCCGCCCGCAGTGCGATGGGACACGTGGCAAAACTTTGTCTGCGTTCCGTTCCACGCAAAAAATAGGGCTTGCTGCAGTTTTTTTACATGCTCTGGAACTGAACGCTGCGGTGTGAACTAGAGCCCAAAATATCATTGGAATACATTGGACGCAGTTTTGATCCGTTCTGTAACTCCTCTGCTCCAGGAACGCGCTTGGTGTGAACAAGTCCTTAAATTCAGAATAGAACCTGGGAAGCAAAAAGCAGCCTCTATATGAAATGAGGGACTTTCCCTTTAATGATGTTCAGATAAATAAACAAGCACTTGTGTTCTTTGTTCTCCAGCCTAGCCAGGGCCAAGCAGCGCCCTTCATGTCCTAACAGCCAGTGGCTGGACGTATTCAGCCTTTGCTGTCTCAGGACAGAACTGTAGGCATAGTAACACAGGAAGCATTGGATTGCTTTCTATCTTTGACTGCCATATAATTACTGTTGGTTGTTTTTTTGGCAAACGTGTATCCGCTGTTATCCTGTGCCCTGCAAATCCTGCATTTATAGTCCTGTCATTCTCACAGAGAGAACTGTGGATTTAATAAACTGCTTTATTTTAACAATGGACACATTGATATATATATACAATTCTAACTCTTCCCCTCCTCTTCCTCTTTCTGTAGGGGTCCCCCAAGGCTCTGTCCTTGGACCCCTTCTCTTCTCCATCTACACCTCCTCCCTTGGTCAACTAATAACCTCACATGGCTTCCAATACCATCTCTATGCCGATGACACTCAAATTTATCTTAGAGAGTAAGCATGGTGCAGTTATGGTTAGCGGTTCTGCCTTGCAACATTGGCGGTCTCTTGTTCGAGACCCGGCCAGGTCACTATATGCAAGGAGTTTGCATGTTCTCCCTGTGCTTGCGTGGGTTTCCTCCGTGTACTCTGGTTTCCTTTCACACCTCAAAGACAGGCTGGAAGGTTAATTGGCTCCTGTCTAAATTGGTCCTCATATGAATGCATGTGAGATAGGGACCTTAGATTTTAAGCTCCAGCAGGGACTGATGTAAAGCGCTACGTTAATTGTTGGTGCTATAAAAGTACCTGAAATAAATAAGTTTCATGATGTGAGGACGCTGAGGGACATTTCATTGCGACAGTAGGCGGAGCGAGGCTGCAGGGACCGGTCTAGCAGCCAGCACTGAGAGTATATCGTTATTTTAGCTCACTAGACAAAATGAGCACTTAACACTTGCAATGTGGGGGTAGCCTCCACTGCAAGGGTTAAGATTTGATATGTACAGAGTTCTTTTTTTAAGTGTCCTGAGGCTGCCTCTTGTAATCGCTTGAAACCAATGTTAATCCTTCTTTATTAAGATCACGGTTTTTGGACAAGATCCGTGACGAGATCAAGACAAAAAGTTAAAGCGCATTTTGTTTTAAAAGACTTTCGGCATCATTCTACTATACTGAGGACTAGTAATGCTGGCCATAGACGGTTCTAATTTTTGCCAAAACCTGCTGAATCCGCTAAAATTCAAGGCTAGGGTGGCCGCGCAAGCATCACCTACCTCAGCAAAAGTCGATTTAGAAAATGACTGAGCCGGGCGGGAAAATTATCGTTCGACCAGCGACCTCATTATATGCGATGTAGTAAACGTTCATGCATTCAGACAGCCACAAGAGCTACGGCTGCTGAATACAATAGCTGGCAGTGGAGATTCCTCCATCCAAGCTGTTTAATGGGCTAAACGAAAGAAAATCTAGCCGTCTAAAGCCATATCAAGTAATGGGCTATAGCTTAGTACTGACAGTGATACCATGCACATTGTAAGTAAAGTCATTGCTAATGTTTCCCACATCGTATTGCAGAAGAGAGCCAACAAGTACAGACAGATGATCTTGGACTCAAGTTTGGAGAATTGTTATTGAAACAACAGGAAAATGTCACTCTCTTATTGTCAATTTTGGAGGTATGTCAGACATTTGCTCATGTATTTTTATGTTAGGGGCATTATTGTAAAATGCATTTCAGACTGAAATCTGTAACCCCCCAGATCTGTTTTAGGGCTCATTCAGATGGCCGTGCACGTCCATAAAATGACCAGATCCCGGAAGAGATGGGTGCTGTGTGTAATAGCACGCAGCAGCCTGTTCTTCAATATGGGAGGGCACGGCCGAACGAAATTAAAGGCAGTCACATGCACACCCGAACTTGCACATCCATGTGGGCCCTGGTGCCTGCACTTGGACGCAGAAAGCATGCATCCAGGTGCAGTCACCCAGAAATACTCAGGTGTGCATGTGACCGCGTGTAATTGTGTGCAGCTGTGTCCTCCCATAGAGAAGAACAGGCTGCTGCGTGCAATTACACACAGCACCTGTCCCTTCCAGAATCAGGTAATTTTATGGACGTGCATGCCTATCTGAATGAGCCCCTATAGTTTCTGCATCTTTGTGTAAATTGGGGATCACCAAACTTTAAAACTCAACTCCAGGCAAATGACTTAATACACAGAGAGAATGCCTGTTTTACACAACACAGGATTTGTATTTCTGTCCTTTTATGTCTGAGCTTTACACTGCTCTGTCTCACAATATAGCCCTGATCTTTCTTTGCTACAGTTTAACTTTCTTCCACACCCTCATTGACTGGATTGTAAAAAGAGAATCAGCACACTGATTATCTTATCTTTGTATAGGTGCCCATCTTTGTAAGGTACAGCATTGCTATCAAAAGATCTTTTATATTGTATCAATACACGTATGGCCCTTCTTACCCTTTGATTACAAAGATTGTATTACATACATTGTGGCTGTGCCCTCCCTTAGGTGGCCAGTGACACATCATGACCGGGATACAACAAAGACTTAAAATGCTCAATGCAAACAAAGCAGTGTGTCCGGATAACATGAAGGGTTTAAACAAGCTCTTCTTCCCTCAGCCACAATTATTTATTTTATGTTTTTAACCTCGCTAATTAAAAAAATATTCCAGCAGCTATCCAAAAAGCACTTGTTTCATCTTGTATTAGTACATTCGTAGACAGAAATGAAAGAAGTTGCTTGCGTTGCTACCTGTTGGGCTGCATTGTCACTGACAAGCCCAAGATCTCTACTAGTGATTGGGAACCAGTTGGTGTGGTTTCTGATCATGTGATCACCATGACAGCCAATCATGCTGATCACATGCTGATCACATGCTGATCACATGTATGCTGGGGTTTCATTCAGACCTCTTAAGCTACACATTCAGTATAAAGTTGATCTCCAGGCACAATAACATCTATTTAATTACTGTATATTCCCCTGTAGCCACGAAGGATACAAATCTGCTGTGAATGCACCAAATACACGCAGAGCAGGCCCTCCCACTACAGGCTGCCAGCAGAATATTGCAGGATAGGGCACATGCACAAGACCAGTCACCGTGCACAAGGAGAGAGAGCAGCAGTGACGGGTCTTTATTATTGGAAACTAGTAGGCCCCACTGGCCGAAAGAGAAAATGTGATCAGAGTATGGTCAGCCTTATGATCCCTTTCTATGTTTCTTTTCCTGCAGGAGTTTGATTTCCATGTGCGCTGGCCTGGAGTGAAACTACTGACTACTTTACTTAAGCAGCAAGGCTCTCAAGTGCAGCAAATTGTTTTAGTCAGCCCAATGGGTAAGAGAGAGACTGTTTTTTCTTTTTTTTTTCTTTTGGTGCCTCTACTAAAAAAAAAAGTCAGCACTGGTTTTCAAGTTAGAACCCAATTGAAATCTAACCCTTTCATCTCATTATAGTCCTGTACCCCCACATTTTATGATTTGTAACCAACTGTGCTGGTAAATGCCTTGTAATATCTTTTGCCCTGTAAAATTCTGCTTTCTGTACTCCCCCGCCAGTGCTTTGTGTTGGTATAGCTGAGTAACAACCCCACCACTCTTCAAAAGTTACATCATACAGAAAATAGAGGGGGTGCTCTTTAACTGAGAACTGATTGAAGTGGGTCTAATTCTGATGCCTGTTTTAATTGTATATTCGTCTTTAGACAGCCTGTGCAACTGCTTTAATAGAAAGGAGAGAGCTTGCATCCGGGAACAAGCATCTCTCCAGTTCTGAAGGTAATCATTCCATGTACGATTTCATGCTGAGAGCCATGGACAGATACGGCTGCTGTCAGCCTGACTTGAATGGGCACAGTGGTTGCATCTGTATGTACCCAGCTGGGATTCCTGCCGCAAGTATCCCTAGGTTCTTGCCACAGGAACCCTTAGACGCCCATGTATATGAGGCCTTACAAAAAGTGGGAACCCTTTTTAATATTTGAAAAAGGTAAAATGTTATGTCTTTCAACTTTTCACAGGTGTTTCCAGGCTTATGGATCTTCTGGATGATTCAAGAGAGGTGATCCGTAATGATGTAAGTTAAAGATGGTTTTTCAGCCAAAAGCTCATTGTTTTGTTTGGAAGTATTATTTTCAGGAAAATATGCTAACATCGCATGCTCACTTTCACAAGCCTAAACTATGGGTTGTTATAGTTTATTGTTCATTGTTTTCTGATTATTTAAAGTAGATGTAAACCCTTACCGAATACAATAGCTGTTTGCTGGGCTAAACAAGTAAAAAGCGCTCAATTCCCCCATCCATGCAAAACTGCATGGATGGGGGAATCTTTTCCGCTCACTATTATATTCTGAAAGTAACGGTTGTGCAGCTGATTGGCTGGATTCACCGTTCAGCCTAAAATTTTCAGCCTGGCTCAATCTGTAAGAGAAAAAAATGGGGGTGATTTAAACAAATAATATCATTATTAATAAATAATATCCGTATTATTTATCAATAACAAAAACAACAAATCATCTATCAAAGATTACTACTACTAGAACGCAAACACATCAATAGTAAACTAGCAATACTATAACAGCATTACTAAATCAAAGAAGAAACCAACCCAACACCTCTACAAAACGGATCATAAACTGGTTGGAGCATAACTAGCCAGATGGATGCATGTATATGACCCGTCCTAGGGGATTGCACAGGTTCTGGACTCGGGGTTCCTCTGACGGCCTTCTCCAGCTGACCTGTCCATCTGTCCTTCTTCTGATTGCCTCCCCAATGGCTCTGGCCTATCCCTCTTTATCCTGGTTACCTTCATTCACTATCATTAGGTACCCACGATTGGTCCACAAAACATAATCCGTTATTTCATGATAGTGATTGTATGGCAACTGAAGTCTCTTTTGATCTGATAACACCAAGGTTGGCCATAACCTGTTCAGTTCCATTCTGACTCCGAGGAGAGTATATATGCATTATGTTCTCTTACTGAGTCCACTGACTCTCCCAAAACACCACTTGTGGTAAAACCAGTTGTCCATTTTAACATATCAAGCTGACCATTGAGCTCAAGGAGACAACACTGTTATGTTAATCCTGACCATAACATATCTGCATGGCAAATTTTTGGCATATTTTTACTAGTCTCAGAGAAGATGCCTTCCTTAATTCACAATTCTTTTCACACCCTGGGCTGCATACGTAACATACATACATCCTTTTGGCTAATTATATTTCTTAAAGTTTACCCATCTTATATTATTAAATAGATATGTTTATTTTTATGTTAGAAACTGGATATTCTTCACATTGCCAAAAATCAATTGAAGAATCAACTTTTGTCGAACGGAGGGGTGCCAGCGTGACCATACCTTGCTTGAATTTCGGCCAGGTCAGCAGGACTCGGTAGAAGTTGGAGCAGTGTATGGCCAAGTTTAGTTCCAGTAAAAACAATACTTTAAAGTGACATTAAACCCTCAGATTTGTTAACATAAAACAATACTGTAATGTGTGCCTTACTGTAATCCATGGTTGTTTCCCTTCTCTTTGCTGCTCTTTCTTTTTAAATCTGTATCTGTTCTCATGCTGGGCAGAACTTCTGTTTTGCAGCAGACTGCCTTGTCTCAGGAATGGATACACGGTGTCTGTGTATAGGTTTATATAGGTTTGTAACCTGAGCCAGCACTACAGGAAGAGGCCCTGAGCTGCAAAGGGAAGTTCTCCCCAAGCATGAGAAGACATGTGGATTTAAAAGGAAGAGCAGCAAAGAGAAGGGAAACTACCATGGATTACAGTAAGGCGCACATTACAGTATTGGTTTATGTTAAAAGATCTGAGGGTTTAATGTCACTTTAAGACCACAGTAATGCTTTGTAATTATTATTGAATTTTGGGGTAAATTATTGTTTTAGTACGGAAGTTACTCATGTTAGTTTAGTCTTGATATGTAGTATACTTTACTTTTATATATATATATTTTTACATATACTTAAACCAATGTTAGTGTTTTGTTTACCGCAAATGTAAATTTGATCTCTTTCTGCAGGGTCTTTTATTGCTTCAGCAGTTGACAAAAGGCAATGCGGCTATTCAGAAAATTGTAGCTTTTGAAAATGCTTTTGAGAGACTACTTGACATAATCACTGAAGAGGGAAACAGCGATGGTGGTATGTAGTCACTGTTGAGAACAACAAGAGAAGAATGAAAGGGTACCATTTAAAATATTTATCTGTCTTGTTGCAGGAATTGTAGTAGAGGACTGTCTAATATTACTTCAGAATCTATTGAAATATAACAACTCCAATCAGAATTTCTTCAAAGAAGGATCCTACATCCAGCGAATGAAGTCTTGGTTTGAAGTGGGAGATGATAACTCAGGCTGGTCTGCACAGAAAGTCACTAACCTTCACTTGATGCTGCAGGTATAATTGCAGACAATGGATGCTATACATCTAAACTGGATTATAAAATGCTAGTAGATTGAGTTTTCTGGAGATATTTATTGTCTCTGTGCTTTTGCAGCAACTGTTTTTTTGTCACATGTCTAAGGAGCATTAACATTTACACTAATTCTGACTTAAAGGGGCAGTAACACTAGATGGTGTTTATTATAAATCTTTTACCTAGCCTTACGCTAACCAAATGTCATTATCACGGCATAGGAATTTTAGGAATAGGAATTTTCTATAATTCTTGGTTCCATCTAGTGGCAGGAATGCCTTACGAATGACATTTGACCAGCGTATGGATGGTGGAAGATTTATAATTAGACCATAGAGCGTCCTATTTAGGAAGCCCCTTGTGTCTTCTGACTCAGTCCTGATCAAGGATATCATGCAGGCAAGGTTTCAGAATACAAAGAACTAAGTTCCTCTGGAGCTGCCAGCCAACAACTATTTTCAAATCAGACTGTCATAGGGGTGCTGCTCCTCCTCAGATGGGAATGCTCTCATTCAACATGCAAAGAAACAAAGACAGAAAGGTGCCCATCCTGTGAAGTACTGTTAATGTATTATAACATTAAAATCAGACAAAGGGCTACTCACAAACGTAGCAGCATAAAAGGTTTTCTAATTGCGATGGATAATGCAAGTCATCCAGATGAGTATTCACAAACCTCAAACCGGGTTTGTAAGCACCGGCATCAGCCGATAATGCAAGTCAACCAGACGAGTAGTCACAAACCTCAGTCCGGTTTTGTAAGCACCAGCATCAGCTGAGATTGTGACGGTTAACAGTACTTCACAGGATGGGCGCCTTCCTGTCTTTGTTTCTTTGAAGGTTTCAGAATGCTCAGAGGGGAATTTATCAAAACTGGAGCAGGCAGAATCTGGCAGAGCACCTGTGGATGGCAACCAATCGGCTTCTCTCTCATTTTCTAATCTTAACTGACCAAACTGAAGAGAGAAGCTGATTGGTTACCATGCATAACTGTTACAGATTTTGTCTGCTCCAGTTTTGATAAATTCCCCCCCTCAGTGTTTTTATTTCACAGGTATAGCTGTATGTCCGTGATGTAATAAATAAGTTCACTCTTCAGTGTGTATGATTATTATTTACAATAATAATTATTATTTACAATTGCAGTTTATCATTTGTATTAGACATGAAGGCAAAGGCATGGGAAATGTACTTAGCCTTACATGTATAGTTGGATGTATATACACATTCCCGTGTTAACTGCTTGTTATGTTTTCAGCTGGTTCGTGTTCTGGTATCTCCAATGAATCCCCCCGGTGCCACTAGCAGTTGCCAGAAAGTCATGTACCAGTGTGGTTTACTGCAGCAGCTTTGCATCATCTTAATGGCAACCGGCGTTCCTGCTGACATCCTAACAGAGGTATTTTCTTCACTTTTAAATCCTCAACATAAGCTACTTGTATCTGTGTTTTATTGTTACATTGTAGTTAATATTCATAAATCTGTAATTGCTTCTCAAAATAGCAGCATTTTTGTTGTTGATTGGTCTGAGCAGTCAGAATTGTCACGAAACATTTTCTCTTTGAGGCGGAGAAGTGAAATTCCATGATGCTGTAGAAAGTCTGATCTATATTTAAAGTGTATGTGCACTCAGACTATGGACAGTAAAGTGTTCACATATTCCTCACGGGCAGTAAAAGTACTTTACCACAAGCACTGACTAAGGTCACTGACCTCTCTAGCTGCTGGTCTTTGTTTAAGGGCTCTTGCACACCGACACCAGTCCCTGTACCCCGTGAATTCTGATGTATCCCCGCCGGCTACAGGGTCTGAGGTTTTCCAATAGCGATGGATAATGCAAGTCATCCAGACAAGGATTCACAAGCCTCACATTAAAGTCAATGGCTGTATGCTCCTGTTGGAGCTTTTACTGCTTGTTTATCTTATGTAAATATTTCAATGTGCATAGTCTGGGCACAGGCTCATTTTAAAGTGGTCAAAAATGCCTATGCTTCTGCTATTAGAAAAAGACTAGACCATGCAGATAGCTACTTATGACCTGGAATGAGGGTGCCGTAGTGTCTGGCTGGCTGGCTTCTGCTTTATTGTTCCTCCTGAGTTTTTCATTTTTTACTTAAAATGACATTAAAGGATATCCCACCCCCCCATGCTAGTGTAAGGACTTACCTTAAATGATGCCTCTTGATCCGATCATCATCTTCTTTCCTGTAGTTTTCAGCAGTCCCTCCAGCGCTGGTGCCGGTCTCTGATCCATCCCTGACTGCTGAGTTTTCTGTGTCCCACAGAGTCTGTGCGCATGCATTGACTTACCCTGTGTCTTGTCTCCCGGCTGAAGATCTGTACTGCAAATGCGCCCGCCCCATGATCCTTTGCGGCCGCCCTAGATTTTTCAGATCTTCGGACGGGAGGGCGCAGCGGAGACACAGGTACGTTTTAACCTTTTTTTTTTAAAATACTGTTTTTGCATATATCGACTGCTTGCTAGCAGTAAATATATGCAAATTTCAGGCAAACTGCAGTTATTCTTTTTGACTCCCTCCCCTGACCTAACAGATTCTATAGACTTCTATGGTCCTGTACTGTGCAGGGGAGAGGCTAGGAGAAAGAGGACTTTGGCGTGTGATGTAAACAAACACGGGAGGCCACTGATATCTGTTCTAGGTAAGTATCTATCTGTGGAGGCAAAGAGAGGGATGTGTTAGGTCAGGGGAGGGGAGTAATAAGAATACGTGCACTTTGTCTGAAATACTGTGCTCCTACTTGTTCCTGGAATCTTCACCCTCTCATTTAGCATCTCTGACTTGCAGGAAGCCAATGCTAAATGTGGAAAGTAAGGAAATTAAAAAGGGAGAAGGAGGCTTAATTTCTCCTGTCTTCACTGAACGTCTGCAAGGTTTTGAAAGCTGTCTCAGTTCTCCCATTCATTTCTGTAGCACTTGTAGGTAGGTCTGCGCACTACAGCACAGGCACCCGGTGGAAAAATAGATGTAAACACTTCCCCTTTGCAATCGATCAAAAGGTTTAAGGATTAATCGAGGAATTAATCGTTAATTTCCCCAGCCCTAATATATATATATATATATATTTATCAATTCTGACACTAAATATGTATACTGGAATTATGATCTGTGTAAGTTGGCAGAAAGTATTGTTTGATATCCTGATTGTGGTCTGAGTTTTACTAAATGCAATGCTTTGTGACTTTTGAATCCCCTGGTGATTATTCTTCTTTAAATGTATGTTTGCAGACCATAAACACAGTGTCTGAGGTCATAAGGGGAAGCCAAACTAACCAAGACTACTTTGCATCTGTAAATGCTCCATCAAATCCACCAAGGTAATAATGGAAATCTTTGAAATGTTGATTTGGTTTATAAATTACTTGAATGTTCTTTAGCATTGGATTGGATTGGACTTAGTGGAGTGGTGTCGGGTCCTCATGGGTTTTACAACAGAAATCTGTGCAGTTTAACTGGGCAACCTTACGCACAGTTGACCTTAGATCAGCATTGACTTCTACAAATAATCATCTACCATTAGCACTGCTTTGTAGCAATGTTTTCTTCGGAAGTGAAGTGATATAGCATTAATTCATGTGTTCATTCAAATCATTAAACATTAATATTAAATTTGCTAAATAAATTGCAGGTGCTTCAAAACAAAAGATGTGCAAAGTCTTATAGTTTGTTTTCTTTACAATTCAGTCACAGTAGTCTGAGTAGAAAAGCCTGTGCCCTACCAGCACACTGCAGGGTTGGGCTCTGTGTGTGGAAGCAGTGGCCTCTCTGCAGAAGTCCAACACGCCCCCTTCTGATTCAGAGCCAGTGCTCTCCAACCAGCAGGGAGCATGAGCAAACATGCTTTTCTACAGTACTTTAATACTTTTATCCAGATTTGCACAGTTAACCGTATGTGTTTTTATTACACTTACAGAAACATCCTGACCTAATGTTCCAATTTTCCTCCTTGTCATTTTTTTTTCTAAAGACCTGCAATTGTTGTACTTTTGATGTCCATGGTGAATGAAAGACAGCCATTTGTTTTGAGATGCGCCGTCCTATACTGCTTTCAGTGCTTCCTCTACAAGAATCAAAAGGGTCAAGCGGAAATTGTAGCAACTCTTCTGCCCTCAACTATTGATGGTAATTCTTCTGTCTGCACATCCCTTTTTCTGCACGGATCATCCATAATATAATGAGTTTAAATCCAATTAATCAAATATTATTGGTTTAGTCTTCGTTTAATCTCCCATGTGATGAGCTACAGTGATGGCTCTTGTCTGAATGCTTTTTTGATGGTAGCCTGTATTAAAAATATTAGATACCTTCCGTAATAAGGTGCCATTATCTAAAGGTGTAAATCCAGGAAAAAATTTTGAACCTCTGTTAGGATTTTCTCTCCATGTTACTTCCTGTCTTGATACTAGTGGTCAGCGAGACAGGAAGAAAAGAGTAATCTGCCAAAAGGGGACACAGCAATGGAAGCTGATTTTGTAGTTTGCAACATTACAATCCTCTGTCAAGTATTTATTGCTGCCCGTGGCCTTTGAGAATGGATTTTTTTTTCTCCCTTCCTGCACTGTCACTGGGATAAAAAATAGAAGAACTCTCATCAACCGAGACACAGAAAGCAATAAAATCCTGACAGAGGTTTAAGCTCTTTATTGTTCTATTCAAAGCTTTAAAAAAAAGAAATTGCTGGAATTTTTATATTGGGTGATGCATGAACTCCTACTTTGAAAAGGATCATTCAGAAATTGTGGCAGTGTATAACCTTTATATTTTCCGAGGTGTTTCTTTTTAATTTAAAGCCAGTGAAGTGGATTTATCAAACCTGGAGGAGACGGAATCTGGAGCAGTTGCTCTTGGCAACCAATCTGCTTTTTTTTTTTTCATTTTCAAAGCTTAACTAAAAAAACTGAAAAGAATAGCTCATTGGTTGCTATTGGCAACTATTGTGTTCGCTCCAGTTTTGAAAAACTGTCCTTGTAGAATCATGGTTGTTTTTTGCCCTAACAAGCCATTATATAAGACATGGTAACTTATATATGTTAAACCAGAACTCCTAAAATTTAAGTTAACGAAATATGTAAGTAGAATTTACTAATCCCTACCTACAAGTATGTATGAGCCCCGCTACTAGGAGTCATTGCACTTAAATGTAGAGAAAATCAAATGCCATTACTTTCCCATTGCAGGCAGAATATATGTCTGCGTATTCCAAAGATTAGCTTTGCGAATTAGTTGTTATTGTGTGTGTATATATAGCAATGAGAACCGATACCTGAGCAAAGCGTGGCTACTACATTTATTGCTTTTCTTCTTCAGCAACGTCACTCTCAGCCGGACAACTGCTCTGCGGAGGCCTGTTTTCTACAGATTCCCTTTCCAACTGGTGTGCCGCAGTTGCGTTGGCTCATGCTCTGTTAGAGAATTCTACCCAAAAGGAGCAGCTGCTGAGGGTTCAGCTTGCAACCAGTATTGGCAACCCTCCCGTGTCCTTGCTGCAGCAGTGCACCAACATCTTATCACAGGTAAGAGCTTGTGTTTGGCATTGTACTGAAGAAGCAGCTTCTGATAATGCATTGGCAAAGGTTTCCATAGTAATCACAATTCATATAGTGCCCTAGTTTTGTAACTTTAAAAGAGAACTATGGCCAAAGCTTTTTTTTGCCCGTAGTTCTCCTTAGGGTCACAGGAGGACATATACTAATGTCCTCCTGTGACCCAAACCTCAGCATATAGTGAGCTATTGCCCACTATACGCTGACAGTGCAGAGCCATGCTGCTGCCAGGAAAGATCCCGGCATCATTGTCAGGATCCACCCCGCTAACTGATTGACAGCTGGCTCTGCCTCTCTAGATACTAGAAGCAGAGCCAGCTGTGCCCGCCCCCCTCCAATGAGTGCTGGAAGAACGGAGAGGGGAGGGGTGAATTTCTGCGGGGAGCAATGACTGACAGTCACCACTCCCAGCAGATAGAAGACTATGAGTTGAGATATCAGAGCCGACGTGTGACAGCTGCAGTATCACATGTCAGCTATAACTATTAGGAGTGCATTTCACTCTCCCCTTAGTTCTCTTTTAAGATCTGTTTCTGCTTTTCTCATCTGTTCAATGTTTTTGTTAATATTTGACACCTATATGGGCTTTTATTAAACAGTTACTGAATAGTATAGGGGCTAATATATTTGTTGGTCATGGATCTGGAAAACTTCCCG